TAACATTATGTATTTATGTATTTGTGTATACATTTGGTATAATACATTTTTTATTCTCTAATTAATGAGTATGTAGGTATTCAATTTCATAATTTGTCAGATTTTTAGGCGACTCAGGAGCCAACTTTCCTGTCAATTATTCAAAGGTTAGCTGGAATAAATCCCTTTATGGGATAAGCTCATCTTTGTACAATAACATTCTATTTCTTTGTTAAAAAATTTGTAATTTGTTTTTGTTGTACAATAAAGTGTTTACATACATACATATGTAAACATTTTATTGTTACATATATACATATTCATATACATATGAATAGGGGAGTGACAAATAAATAATAAATAACGCAAACACTCAACGTAGCCCCGCGGGTGCCATGGACACATACAGAGACAACCACAAATTACACCCAAACTCACGAGAGAAATAAATGTAGGCCATACAAACATTTCTCCCGGCCCGGGAATCGAACCTGGGACCTCTGCGTGGCAGTATATAGGCTGCATGGTAACCGTTCGGCCATGGAGGCAGTTTCAAGGCAGTGACAGTTGACAAATTGTAGTTAAAATTTAACTATATTACATTGACTTACAAATAAATGGACGACGGGTCTAATACAAAAACCACGAAAAAAATGTCCCAAGTCAACCTATTCGAAATTTAAATTGTAATGTCATCGCAGTATCGCGCTGTCAGTAGAACAAATGAAGACTAAAGCGGAGTGTCGCGCTCTGTATACGATTTTAGCGCCTTACAAGTGCGGACACTTTTTAGCGCGGACCCGACGTCCATATAATTGTAAGTCAATGCTATATTATAAAGGTTTAGGTTATTAACTAAATGTAAACAAACCGTCATCAAGTATTTTATGAGGCAATACCTGGTTACTTATTGTAAAATTATAATTAACTTTTTGAAAGTGGTTCTAAATATAATGATAATATTTTAAGGTGATAAACAACATTTCCAACTACCTATTTAAAACAGTACTAAATATATAATATAAATATAATATTTAAATAAAGATGTTTAATAATACGTATCACAACTTTTCTACAATAAACAACCTTAAAATCAAGTCTTTAAAAAGATGACAACTAATAACAAGGGATCAAAGATTCGCTCTGGACCTTTTGGAGGGAAAAGTGTCGTTTTTATTTTGACTTTCAATTATTTTGTGAAATATAGTTTTTAAGTGGAAGAGGATAATGCTGTTGTGCCTTAATCGAGGATTAAAACGCGAAATTATACGAATCTCGAACTATAATACCCGTTTTAAGGAATCCCGAGTCAATCCAAGCACGCCGCCTCAAATTGCCTATCCTCTTTGTGGCGGCAATATTTACGGAAACATATTTAAACTTCATGTTTAGGCTGATGGCTTTGCCTAAGCCTAAATAAATAAAAAAAAAACAAGCGATCAAATTAAAGAGTAAAAAAAATAATTTAAATTAAGAATCGTTATGACGTCATTTATTCGAACCGATTATCGTTCATAATCCCATACAAAATATCAAATTTACAACATTAATGAAGTAACTTACAATTTTGACAAAAAAAGGCAGAATTTAGATAAATATTCATCAACGCCAACCCGTAACTGCCTCCGTGGCCGAACGGTTACCATGCCGGACTGCCACGCAGAGGTCCCAGGTTCGATTCCCGGGCCGGGCGAAATATTTGTATGACCTACATTTATTTCTCTCGTGAGTTTGGGTGTAATTTGTGGTTGTCTATGTGTGTGTCCATGGCACCCGCGATACAGGGTTTCCCTAGTGCGGGGCTATGTTGAGTGTGTGCGTTATTATTATTATTATTATAACACGTCTCTTTGCTGGCCCACGGTTATTCTTTACGAGAAAGTTTAGGCAAGAATTCAGGTGGCGACTTTCAAAGGTTATGGACCTTCTCCGACACAGAATGGTCATCACGATATTTTCTTTCAACATGAGATATTGTCCTAAACATTTACAATTAACATGCCGTAATCGTATATAACTAATAAAATTAACCCTCCAACTAAAAATTTTAATAAACACCAATACTCATGTTACAAACGGTCGTTACAAATTTAACCCTTCAAGGTCCAACTGTCCCTTTGGGCCGTAATTGCAACAAGATGGCGCCGGCACTAATGTGTCGTTAATATCTGGATTAGTTCATTAACTCTTCATCCCTCGGAGGGTACAGAGGAACAGGGTAACACTGACCCCGAGGTTGCTATCGAATTTCGGAAAATAAGAACATAGACAACCCCATATTCGGAAATGGAAATATAGTTTTTACCGATATGTAGGGCGTCCTACGGCTATGCCACAAGGAGGAAAAGTACCTTAAATACCGTAGATACAAAATTTCAGAAAGAAGACTTCATTATGATTTTAAAAACAATTCGAACTGCATTCAAAGATTTTTAAATAATCGCCTATCTGAACTGGGAATCTGGAAAAAAAGCACCTGTAATTTTACTATACTGATCGAAACCCTTAATCATAAGGATTGTTTTCTTCCAAATAACTTAGCATCTTAAATAAAAGGAAGACCATAAAATTTAGCATTTACTGATTTGCTCCCTGGGTGCATCGTACAGAAGGGAATGGTTTATGCAACCCGCAACAAGATGGCGAAGAGGCGGTTCACTAACTAAAACGCCAAGTGACAAAATATTTTTTTGAGATATCACAAAAAACTATAACTATATTTGAGAATATTGACATTGTTCAATGATATTTCAGCTATGCATCGTTAGGGTAAGTTCCGAAGTCGAACACGTTAACTAATTTTAACTGTTTTTAAAAGAATTTTGTTATTTATTTTTTGCTATTCAAAACGGTTATTTGACCATTTGTCACTTAGACGCGTTATAGTTAGTGGCAGGTGAAAAATGTTAGTTTAAATGTTAGGTTAGAACCGAACGTAGAATTTCATCAAAAATATTGTTATCGAGTCCATTTTCTGTTTTGCACATTTTCAAAATATCATCACCAACCCATTTATACGTCCCACCGCTGGACACGGGTCTCCTCTCAGGCGAGGGTTTCGGCCAAAATGCGGGTTGAGGGCTTCACATGTTTTCCAAGGGTTGTGAACCTTCTTCGACGTGCAGGGATCATTACGTTGTTTCCTTCACCGAAAAGCTCATGGTAATTTTCGAATTTCGCATATAAGTTCTGATGAACTCGGTAGTGCGAGCCCGGAAGCAAACGGCCTCTGCTTGAAAGGCTGTAGGTTATCACAGCTTCTTTTTGAAATATGTTTCTGTTTATTTCAATTTGTAAATAAAAAGTCTAATGTACTCGCTGGAGTACGTGTTCACATACGTGCCCTACGGAGTGATAGCTCCCAAGAGTATATTAAGCAGTATATTATGTATTGTATTACAAATAACACGATCAATATCATCCAGTTCTGTTGAATAAGTAAACAGAGTGCATCTCTGAAATGAGCTGTCGATTCGCGTTTACCGGGACGAACGCGAGGGCGCGATTGGTTCCCGATTCGATTAGCTTTTCTGGTAATTATCGGAATGTTTGGATGTTATTCAGTTTCGTGGTTTCGTTATTCGTTATTATTTGTTAATTGATAATGTACCTTTATAATCATTCATTACGTCAAAAGTCTTGTAGGGTTATAAAAAAGAATACAAACTACATAAAACAAATTATGCGCTTTGAACATTGACTTACAATTATATGGACGTCGGGTCCGCGCTAAAAAGTGTCCGAACTTATAGGGCGTTAAAATCGTATACAGAGCGTCATTCACGCTTTAGTCTTCGGTTGTTCGACTGACAGCGAAGCAAGCAAAATTAGACAGTACTGCGATGACATTACAATTTAAATTCAACGTTTTAGCTTTTTCATATTCCTTTACATGTCACTACGTTTAAATAGGTTGACTTGGGACATTTTTTTCGTGGTTTTCGTATTAGACCCGTCGTCCATTTATTTGTAAGTCAATGGCTTTGAACAAAGAATGAAGTCAAAGTCAAAGTCAAAGATTATTTATTCCATAGGTAAAATAAATTTACACTTGAAAACGTCACATTTAAGCTACTGCTCGTTCACTACGCTGACCTCCCTGAGAAGAACGAGCAGGAAACTCTAGGGATTGCTCTTTTCAAATAAACTTAAATGCTATGGAATACACTTGTCAGCCATCAGCCATGTCGTCTTTCCATACATCTTTATCTAACACGTAGTCTTCAATTTTGTAATATGATTTTTCGATCAAAATATTTTTAATGTAGTTTTTAAACTTAGGAAATGATAAACTTAATATATGCTCCGGAATCTTATTGTAAAAACGTATACAGTTCCCCATAAAAGAGTTGTTTACCTTGGTTAAACGAATGATTCAATCGCCTTTTGATTTAGAACGTCGTTATCATAATTTAAACTTTTTTAGAGACCCCCACACTAGCGTCTTTCGAGCGTCAAAGTCTAGCCAATGCACGCACAGCGTCGACTCGACGTCCACGCAACCGCAACGGCGTATACCCGGCGTTCGGCACTATTCAGCACAGTAATCGCTCAGTGCTGGCGTTACGTCGCATCGTCGCCGCGCGTACGTCGTGTGAACGCTGTGCGTCTCTTACGCGAATGCCACGAGTCGCGACGTTCCTTGCGTCAGCGCCGAGCGTCAATTACGAATATATGATTTTATTTATATAGGCCTAATTCTACTTGACTTCCCCTCACCACCGAAGCTGCTGTAAGCGAATTACCAAACTTCGTGGGTGTATTTTGACTCTTTAAATTGACTCTTCAAGCGTGGCGATATTTTCGTGGCCGAGGCGTTATCAGCGTTCTAAATACATTCATAAGTATATAAATGTCCATGCCAGTTACTGGTCAAATGTAAGGGATAACACGTATTATAATTATAACACCTTAATTGTAGCTACATTTTTATAGCATATAAATAACCTTTCTTTTTCTCTTAATCTCTCTCGGTCATTGCGTCTATAACAGTGTGTTAATTTACATTGTGTTTGTTTCAGGTTTATCAACGCGAGACGTAGGATAGTGCAGCCAATGATAGATCAGTCAAATAGAGCAGGTAACATTTTTCTTATACGGCTATACGTTATCAATTACTTCTTAATTTTGTTGCACTGTATGTATACTTAAATGTTTATGGACCACGGTAGATTGCGAGAAGATTATGGTAAAAAATAACTGCTTAAATAAATACTATGCTGTTTTTTTCTAAAATTTTCTAAAATTTTTCATTTGATTATTGATTTATAATCAAATGAAAATACACATTTAAATGAAATAAAATTGCTGGGTGGCTTTCAGAAATTAGGGTTTAGAGACTTCATGTACTCGAAGGCCCGTTCTTATAACTTCACTCGTATGCAAACTAGGCTAAATTTAACGTTTATTGGATTTATTTTTCCTTTCATCAATAATTCTGTCTTCACAAACTACCAGGCGTACATAACTCCAACAGTGGTCATCGTAAGAGCTACCTCTAGGGACGTCCAACGTTCAGCATGCATGTTGCATGAGCTCACTGCTCAGCGGTCAATTTGATTGCGGCCTTCAAAGGCGATCGGACGTGGTTAACTTGCCGAATTTCTCCACGTAGGTGAACTCCCTTTCCTGCTAATGGGTAGGGTTTTTTTTTAAACTAAAAAGTACACTTTTACTTTGAGAGAGACTTTTCTTATGGCCATTATAGGTTTTTACAGTTACAAAAAGAAAACATGATCGGGAAAATACCTATTATTGTTTTTAACAATACAAAAACACATGTTACAAAGGTGTTACAAGAATGCATTTTCAGAAGACACTGTGGTCCGCCCTGCGGCATACTAAATTTTCATTATATTTATAGTAGCAGTAGAGCTCCTTCTCAAAGAGTTTGTCCAGGGAAGTACTGCCACCTTACCTATTTCTGCTACCAAGCAGTAATGTAACTATTGCTGCGTTCCGATTTGGAAGGGTGCTGATGAAATTACAGGCACATGGGACTTGTCAACTTATGTCTCAATGTGACGGACGCAGTCGCAGTGCCCCTAAGATCTGGGCGTTAAAAAAACAATACACGCGATATGGTTTTTTTCTCAAACAAACCAACGTTTTGGGCCCTTCACGGGTCCCATGGTCACAGCCATCTGGTTAAAAAAATATGTAAAAAACAAATAAAATACTTTTTTATAAAAATATTTTTATAGAATGCGCATTTCACCTCCATCTCACCTAATGGAAAATGACGATGAGCTCGACGATGGAGCATGAGCGACTAAATAATGTCTTTATAAGAACAATTTTTTACGAAAAATCCAGTAGGTACTATGAAGATAATTAAGTAATGATTTCTAAAACTCTTCACAATTATTGCAAATTCTGAATTTCACTCCAAAGTTTTATTGTAGACCTTTGAAGCCATTATAATTTAATTACACCCTATAGCATAATAATAACCGTTCACCAGTTCTTGAGCCTGACTGAGTCCGTGACCCCGACCGACAGTACCTTTGCCTCGTCTCTCAAATTTAAAAATTCAAAATTTTCCTTTTAGTTTCCACTCACAAAAGCAGCTTAATACATGATGTTAATTAACAGCATTTTCTGTTGATCTAGTAAAAAAAAATTTTTCTAAGTGTTCCATCTTTGCATTAATAATTCTAACTAATTAGTGGAGTGATTTCACAAAAATAATTGAACACCAATTCAATAAAAAAATAATTAAACAGTCTTTAACATAACAATCTGGAACACAAAGCAGCGTTCAAAGTTATCGCTGTTTTCGAGAGAATTTTTAATAATAATACACTTTTTCCCATAAACAAACGTTTTCCAAACTATCTATTCTACAAGAGCTCATGCAACATGCATAGATACAGTGAACGTCCCTAGAGGCGATAGCTTTTAGCGCTGACCACCGCGGAAGTTATGCGAGCCTGGTACACACAGATGGGGCTTGTAATGGCGTCTTCGGACCAGGACGACAGGACTTAATAGATAATGTGAAACGGATATCGAATAATGTTGTTCTTTTTTAAAAGTACATTTTTTCGTAGTTATTTTCATTTTTATATAATCATAATTCAAAGCGTTGACAAAATTACTAATGTCAATAATTCACAATTTTACCTCTACTGTATTCCGGTTTCCTTTTTTGTGCTAAGCCGCCGTGCTTGAAACATATGAACGGTGAATGCTTTAACCGCTATTCTGTAATTCGAATGTCCGACATGAAAGTAACAATAACTGCATTCACGCTCCTCGCCCCGACCGGGAACACATAAAAATGAGAAACTGTTACAAAAACGCGGAATTCCTGAGGAGGAAAATTTTTTGCCGGCCCGCCGACAATATGGAATAGAATTACAAACGACCAATTCTATTTTTACTTTGTAATTGTAAGGACAAAAATTCCGGGGGAAAAAAGAGCTGGCTGAAAAAGGGCTTACTCTTGCGAACGGAGGCAAGAAGGGTAAAAAAGAATAATGTCCGAATTCGTTGACCCGTGGCGGGCGATCCATCACTCTCCCCTCCGGCGACTATCGGCGCTGTATGCGAGCCTGGTACCTTTATCTCGATGTGCGGATGTGTGTACGGCCTTTTGCCCGTTCCGGATTAGACTGCCCTGTCTGTCTGTAATTTCGGGAGTGAATAAAAAATATTCGGATCGTGTCTCGGGGAAATTACTGCTTTCTGAGTTATGTAGCTCCGTTTCTCTTCGATTAAATACGTGAACAAAGTCCAGAAAACATTTCCACGTTACATCCTTGAAGTCCATGACATTAAAGGAAGATTTCGGTGTTTGTTCTTGCTCGATCATTTATTCTGATTTATCCGAGCTTAGCAATGTCATTCATAGTCATACTCTAGTAAGAACCGAGTCGGGAAATCGCCAATGAATTGTCTTCCAAAGCACTTAAAGCACTGTTTATTATTTCAACTTGATAATGAGACAGTTTTACAAATTATTAAAGTCACAGTGACGGCTGTTATACGAGTAATCCTTTCGGCCGCGTAACGATCGACAGTACCAGGAGCGGCGCAATGGCGTATTGGGCAATTTATGTCCGTAAATATAAATTCATTAGCTTCACCAACGTGGTGATATCGAACATCTGCTAATGTATTATGTGCGCCTAGTAGATGATGTTGGATTCCGAAGGTGACAATGTTGACGAGGCGACAAAAGACACTATTGAAGACTAAGCGAATGCAATTTTAAATAATGCTTGTAGATAAGTAATACGCGAAAGTTTGAAATCACGAAACTTGGTTTTTACCCCTCGCGACATATTTAAAAAGGAACACACTCCGAACGAATCTCCTTTTTTGAAAAAAAATACATACAACTTTACGAACCGATCGCAAGTTGGCTTGACCACAGGAAGCGGCGCCATTTTCTCGAGGCCATTGCCAAAACAATTTTCCATCTATCGTCCGGTTCTTCCATTTTCCGTCGGAAACTTGGCCACGCTCGCTTCCGGCTAGGTTTGTTTGTTTTAAAATATGTTTAGGTCTCTTGTACGCACGTGATTGCCTGATAGGTATGAATAGGATATTTTGTACGTTCGTCTGGGTTTCGTATAATAATTTGCTATTTTCGGTCTTGTCACGTTCCTTAAACATTATTTGCATGACTCCTTCTGAATTTACCGTAGTTGCGTTATGTTAATGGCATTGACTTACAAATAAATGGACGACAGGTCTAATACACAAACCACGAAAAAAATGTCCCAAGTCAACCTATTTAAACGTAGTGACATGTAAAGGAATATGAAAAAGCTAAAACGTTGAATTTAAATTGTAATGACATCGCAGTGCTGTCTAATTTTGCTTGCTTCGCTGTCAGTCGAACAAACGAAAACTAAAGCGTGAATGACGCTCTGTATACGATTTTAACGCCCTATAAGTTCGGACACTTTTTAGCGCGGACCCGACGTCCATATAATTGTAAGTCAATGGTTAATAGCGACTAATTACCGGACTAAAAAGTACCGTCTAACTTCATCGATTGTTTTATAATTTGACGATAGTGGCAAGAAATTGACGATTGTCCACAAATCACTGCCGCGTCGTTTTGGGGGCTGTTATTGCTTCCTGCAGCCCTGGTGGGAGACACGCGCCACTGAAGCCGAAGCCGATCGGTTTTAGGGGACCGCAAGACAAATATATAAAAGCTTGAGATAATGATAATCAAGATCTGTAACTGTTACATTTTTTAAGTGGTTTTTTATAGTATAATTTAGGGTATTGCATAAAGGAGTTGTATTGATGGAAAGAATTAGCTGGATAAAGAAAGCGTCCAATGAGGAAGTACTAACGAGAGTGAAGTAAAGCAGAATTGTCTTGAAAATAAAAATTAAAAACCAAAGAGATATTAAGTGGGGCCATCTTATACGACTTTATTATAATTATGACCGAGGAAAAGTTGGAAAAGGAGGTCAAAAAAAAGCCTTCCAAGGGACAGAATGACGTTTGACACCCACAAAAGCATAATTTATGCGTGATGAAAAAATACCTTGCTGGGTAATCTGGTAAAGGTATAAATAGTAGCTACTCTCACTCATTCTTTCTATAAAAAGTAAGGAATATTTCGAAAACACTTCTCAAACCGGAAAGTTGACATTAAAAATATCACCGGAAGACCAAACTGGCACAATGGACCAAACTTCACGATTGTTAGCAAAAAAAGAGTCGCGAATCATTTAGAACTTCAAACAAGCGGTGAAAAGCACATTGCAAACTTTCTACATTTCCTCTTGTTATTTCATTTTGTATTTTTGTTACAAAATTGCGACTGTTTACGTATTTTGGATCTATTGTAGGATACAAAAAAAATTTCGCCTAAAAATAGATTCTCACAATTACGCGAATATATAATATGTTCTAAGTTTAAAATATGCCCGCCACTTAATATTAAACCGTAACATTATTTAATAAAACTACTAATATTAAACCCGTTTAGCTCTTACAGGTACTATCGATTTATGATGTTTGAGATAATTTTTGTAAATGATGAAAGTGTACAATTTTATATTTACAAAGAGCAATCTTTAAAGTTTCTAGTACATTCTTCTCAGGGGAATTTGCCTTGAGCAGTAGAGTTAATACATATGGCGATTTCAAGTCCAATTTCCTTCCCTATAAAATTTGGTTTGATGAAACGAGAAAATTTGATTGAACAGTAGTTCAATTACTCCATGCCTAACAATTGCTCAGGTGACTTTTGGTAAAGATATCTACGACAACTTTTAGTACAAAGCATAGTTTCCTCGAACCAGATTCTAAGCCAGAGTTTGTAGGTTATTAAATGTACTGCAAAAAGGATTCTCGTATTAACGATTTTTCTTAAAATTTCTTCCGTTCTTTCAACTTACGTGAACTCATTTAAAATAAAATTTAAAAAAGTTTATCGACATCTCTTTAACAACAGAGATATTGGCGATTGTCCATTTTTCAAATGTATTTTCATTATTTTTCAAACATGCGTGTTGCTATAATCATTTGTTTTAACTTTCTCATAATACAAACTTAACGCGTAATATGTCCACAATATCATATATATTTACAAGTGAAGCTTGGCCACGTTTGGCACTTTTCAATCAATGGCGCGTGCCACCATAAAGCCCCCATAGGATCCAAGAAGGAAATCGACGTCTATAATGGTACTCCCCATTACTACGATTGATAATCCGTGGGAGAAGCACGGCTATCGGAAACCATAACAGTTTTGTGGCAGAATTGAGTGAATACAAAGTTAGAAACGACAGAGGATGTTTGCTATTTGAATTTGATGTGTGTTTTTTTTGTTTTTAATCCCGACGCAAAAAGACTTGTAAGTTGATGCCTTTGTCTATAAGTCTGTCCGTGGCTTCCACACAAATGGGTTAATCGCAAATTGTTTTTTTTTAAGGTAATAAAAAATAAAAATAATCGTGATGTCAAAATAGGTCCCTTAGCTTGCAATACAACTACGCCGGGGCTTGTCCTCCATACAGTTTTCGTAAGCTGATTGAGGCAGTCTTCAATTCTTTCAGCGAATTCCTTTTATATCTGCAATAGACTCAAAATGCCTTTCTCGAAGTAATAATTTTAGTCTCGGGGCTAGGAAAGAGTCAGACGGAGCCATATTAGGTGAGTACGGTGGTTGGTCGATGACATTCGTCCAGTTTTTGGCTAAAAACGCTTGCAAAATTAATGAATTGTTATTCGCCCAAATCCGACCGTTTTCGGTGGATGTTCGTGTAATTAAAATTATTTATTCACTACACCCGAATAGTATTCGTTCAGAATCCGGAACTATACGAATCGAGAAAACTTGTGCCCACTTTGGATGTCGCTTGTGCACTAAGTCCTTTCGAATCCGAGAAGATACGAATATCGCTCGTACGCCTAGAGATAAAATGATCCCTGTGATATTTCGGACCATCGTTTCTTGGATTCGGAGCTGGGGGTCTACAAATGAAAAGACGCGTGATGCGAATGAAGTTTATACTGGATACTTGTCTTTTAATTTTGTCGAATATTACTTATTTGACAGTAATTGTTTCGGACGGAGACCGAGAGAAGCCCCCCTGCCCTGATACTAATGGGACGTAATATGCAAACGGTCTAAGTATAATTTTACTGTAAATACCGTGGTCCTTAATTCCAGTTGACATGAACAGCATAATGCATTACTTAACACTTAAACAATATGAGAAACGAAACTAGTTTATCCGAATCTAAATTGCGTATATTTGTTTTGTCAAACAAACCAAACGTTTCGGCAACAACGGTTCTTTACATGTCCCATGGTCACGGCTGAGTGGTTTGTGGCTTGTTGATTTGTTTGAAAAAATAAATATGCTCGATTTCGAGATTCGGAAAACGTAGTTATTTCCATTGTAGGTATGACAATAGCAAAGACCTAAGAAATATCGATACACATTTAGTTGATTTTTATAATATCAGCATGATCTGTTTGATTCGCATTCGCATTGCACCCTTAATGTAACAAAGTCACATGTGCAAAATGACAACTTTTGAATAAGATGGTTTTAAAGATTCTAAAACGAAATTAGTCGATAACTTTTGTATATTTAAATAGGAGAGCTATATATAAATCTGTTTCATGTAGTTTGTATTGTATTCATGACTTTCATGTGATAAAAACACTTTTAACATATCGCACTGTTAATACAATAGTGTATTAATTCAAAAAGTGTATTTTCTCAGAATTGATGAAAAACAAATTACTCACTTCCCGCATAAAATCATTAAAATGTGCATGTTATATAGTTTATTATAGACACTTAAACAATTTCTCAAATATATATTTAAAAATAAAATGGAAAAAATAATTTCATAGGAAATGAAACTATTTTTCCGGATTTAAATCGCGTATATTTGTTTTTTCAAACAAACCGACGTTTCGGGCCCTTTACAGGTCCCATGGTCACGGTTGACTGAGGTGGTACAGTCATCAACCAGTTCTGTCTAATATTAATGCAAACCACCCTATTTTTTCACTATAGTTACAAAAGTTATTAATTAAATACTTTGTTTTTAATTTTACAAAGAAAGATTCCAATTTACGCTACATTACGTTTTACAAATTATTTTATTGAATGATTTTTTATTAAGTTCAATTTATTATTAATTATTAATAGAAATTAAAATAAATTAAAACACATTAATTAGTACCTATAAATATGAAATTATTTTTTACTTTTATTATCAAATATACTTCTAATTGGCAAATAGGAGTTGTTTAGATGTCTAATAAATTTTAACCTGTACATAAATTATAATAATCTTTCACGGGAACTGTGTATTTAGTTTTTCAGCTATTCTGAATAAATTCACTTTTTGAGTTAATACACTATTGTATTAGCAGTGCGATATGTAAAAAGTAATTTTCGCAATTTTTCGAAATACAACACGATTTCTTTCCGTCGTCGATATAAATCCAGGTGTATGTGAAAAATGCTGCCACTGATCACAGCTGATCCAACAGCAGACTTAATTAACCTTGCAGTATTCTACCCCGCAGTATTCCCTCACGCGGGTCCCAGTGGCGCGTACAGTCCCGAGGCGACCATGGGCTACATGATGGACGGCCAGCAGATGATGCACCGCCCCCCCACCGACCCTGCCTTCCACCAGGGCTACGCGTATCCAGCTGAGTACTACGGACACCACCTCTAATGCTGACTGTAAGCACTTGTACATGTAAGTATGGTAATACAATTTTATTACACCAATGATAATTATAAATTTATCTGTAGACACAAACATATAATGAGACAAGTATGTCATAGCCTACACGGCACTCGGGGCGTAGGGTTGTCACATTATTGTTTTAGTTACTTTTAGTAGCAGTAGAAAGAGTTCCTATTTCTACCGCCAAGCAGTAATGTAAGCATTACTGCGTTCCGGTTTTGAAGAGTAAGGGTGCTGGTGAAATTACAGGCATATGGCACTTTTCAGATCGTGCCCCTAAGATCTTTGCGATTTAAAACTCTGACGTCGTTAGGTTTTACACCCATCCTACCTATAAATTTCAAAAATCCTAGAAGATTCTCCTCTTCAACCGTGAGATGTTGAAGAGTTAAAACAGAATTGTACTCAACAAAAGAACTTTTCTTTCGTAAATCTTAAACATTGGACTACCAAGTAGTAGCAGTAGAGGTTCTTGTGAAAAATTTAGTCCAGAGAAGTACTGTCACGTTATCTATTTCTGCCGCCAAGCAGTAATATGAACATTACATGAGACTTATCACCAATGTCTCAGGGTGACAGTGATCTTTGTGATTTAAAGCTCTGAGTGGCACTGCAACTTTTATGGACATGCGGGTCGCAAGAAGTTGTATAATTATTGTACATCATTCTTTTATTCTCGTTACTTGTTTTGTATTAGCTTATTCTTACAAGCTACCATTGACTTACAAATAAATGGACGACGGGTCTAATACAAAAACCACGAAAAAAATGTCCCAAGTCAATCTATTTAAACGTAGTGACATGTAAAGGAATATGAAAAAGCTAAAACGTTGAATTTAAATTGTAATGTCATCGCAGCACTGTCTAATTTTGCTTGCTTCGCTGTCAGTCGAACAAACGAAGACTAAAGCGTCAATGACGCTCTGTATACGATTTTAACGCCCTATAAGTTCGGACAGTTTTTAGCGCGGAACCGACGTCCATATAATTGTAAGTCAATGCAAGCTACTAATATACTATATTGTCACTCGGTATCATAAAAAATAACAAAAATGTATAATGGAAGTGAGAAAGGTGTCAAAGAGACCCGTGCTCAGGTGTGGCGGCATTCAGGAGTTAACACAGATACTATAAAAAACATGCCCATCGTCGTCAGTATAATAAATCGCACTACATTCCAATTCGTGGATATAGCTTTATGTGCTTCCAATTCATTTGAGGCAATCCGCCGATGGACATTCATCCGGACTCGAACTGAGACAAATAATGGATGTGCGGATCCTCCTTGCGTTCGCGGCTTTATAAAATTACATTAAGAGATTGGAACTGTCGATTTTACGAGTTACTTGATACGAATGAAAATTTAAACTAAAGAATTTTAACTGTAACGAATATGTGACAATTTTGGTGTAAAGATAGGTGTACATAGGCTACTGAGCGAATTAATGAGTCATTTAAAGAATAACCTTGTAAAATTTATGATTCTGTTAATTTTATGAGTTACTTTAGAGGAGTGAAAATTGAGACTAAAGAATTCAAACTATTACGAACAATGGTGAACGTTTTTGTATAAATATTGGTAGATTCATCGTTTACTGGGTAAATTAACGAATTAAAGAATGACTTTATAAAATTACGTAAAAAAATATTCTGTAAGTTTTATGGATGACTCTATGGGAATGAAAATTGAAATTAAAGAAAACAATGTATAACCAACAACAGTGGAATTTTTTGAGTAAAGGATTGGTAGATTCGTCGTCGACTGAGTGAGTGAATGAATAAAAGAATTATTTAATAATGTTAAAAGATTGATTCTGTAAGTTTTATAAATGACTTTATCGGAATAAAAATTGAGACTAAAGAATGCAAACTATAACGAACATTAGTAACTTTGATGTAAAGATTGGAGGGTCTAGGAAATTAATAAGTGAATGAATGAAATAATGACTTCATAAAATTACATCTCTCTTAAGTTTGAAACTAGATTGAACTCAAATTATTTTGCTAAAATATGATACGGAGCCAATGTCGACAAGCACCCGATAGCGACTGATAGTGCAGCGGGCGAGAATTTAATAACTACAGGGGGTCTCAATGATTATCACTAATATCAGGCTTCTTACCACGGTGTGACTTTTTATTTTCTCGAAATTTCAGAAAGGTTCCACGCTCCATACCGTGGTAAGAAGCCTGAAATTAGTGATAACCATTTAGCGAATAACCACGAAATCCTTAAAATCTATACAGGATCTCAGTTGAAAATTTAACACTCTGTAGTACATAAAGAGAAATATCTCTATATAAAAACTATGTGCTAAGTTAGATATTTTTTAGATTATTTTCAGGATTTGACATGATCGAGTAAAGTACATGCTATCGTATAATAAATTACCACATTCTTTAGACCATATTCTTAAGTGTATCGTATATTTTGATAAGACCGCTATCTAATAGTCAATAGCTAAGCCAGTTGATCTATTGAACGACTTTTTTCTTTAAGTCACTTTTTACTGGTGTATTATAGTTTTATTAACACTTCTATAAGAATGTCTTTTTGTTACAGATATGAATAACACTGACCAGGATTCCTGGTCTCGCCACGGCTTCGACGACCGGCCTTTGGGCCCACGTGATATAAAGGAGACATGTACATACCACGCATCTTTGTAATATTTCAAAACTGTATACGATCTCCTAAATTAAGAATTAAAGTCAACCCTTAATATTTAAATTAATGTATTATATTAAAAAGTGACAGTGAAAGTGACTGTTGTTTATATACATATACGGTGCAATCGCCATTATAAAAAAAATGAGTAAATTTTATTGTTTATTACCACTATATTTTGATGTCTGATCGTTTGTCATTCCTAAAGAAAAACGGCTGCTTTTCAAGAAAAATGTTTTAAATCTAAATAATTTATTTTTTATTTATAACGCAATGGTATTTTAAACCATATTCCTAAAGAATTAGCTGTTTTTGAAATAGGCCACTATTCTATAAAAGCAATCGAAATATCGGTTTCGACAAATAATAAAATAATGTTCTAATCATTCACGGCACATAAAGATTTATTCGCAGGAATCGTTTATTTTTAATTAGTTACTTATTTGATGATTTTTTTTTAATAAAATTTTATCAGGCATTAATTTCATAGTGGAAATAAGCGTAAAAGCGGTTTATATCATGAAAACAATAGGAACAAAAAACGGAATGTAAACAATAATGGTTTGATAGTAATGGTATAAAGATATTTATAGATAATTGTGTATTGTTACTACGTATAAATAATTGAATTAGTTGATAAGTTAACTAAACTATTCTGGAAGTATGGTCGCTTGTGGACAGAACACTGGGTTTTATAAAAAAACGAGTTTAATTATTTTCTTTAAACTGGTTGTGATTTTTGAGATTGTCTTGTTTTTAATTAAAGGGTCTTTGAATCACCTGTTCCTTGGACCCATACTTGAACCTATTATAGTTAATTTCTCAACAAAAAAATAAAATAAGACAGCATTTCAAAGAAACCCAAGATTTATGATTTCATGAAATAATAATTTCATGAAAGGCATATTGTATAATTTTTTTAATTATTTATGTTTCATGAAATTAATATTTTATGAAATTTATATTTCATGAAATTCATATTTTATGAAATTCACGATGCAAATAGTTGTGCCATACCAAATGTACCAAATCAAATTATTTGGTATTTCACAAAACGTGTTTTCCCATGACACAACTAGATGTATCATTTCAGTTAGTCCACGAGGAATATGTCGATAAAACTCAATGTCACCCATCAACCAGTAAAGCCCTGAGAAACATAAGTTCTGTATATCTCTATAAAGTTTTGTTTCTGTTACTTTTAAACTAACTTATTTGAATTTGAATTTAAACGCTCAAATCGTACTTCTAGAGAAACGTCAATTTCTTGAAATTATTATGCTGATGGATTTTGAGGGTGTGGTATTAAGAAAAATAGTAAAATTAAAAAATTACTCTGGACTATCTATTACTAAATAATTATCATCATAATTACTAAAAACAAAGACCGAACAAAAAAGTTAGAAAGCTTCCAAATTGAGAGTTAACGTCCGAATCTATGACTTAATTTCAGTTTGACTATTTTTTGCCCGCATGCCGAAAACGGTTCACAACCCTTAGAAAAATGTTTGACGCATGGCCACGTCCTTAATGATAATGATGTTAAATAAATAATATTATAATTTGGCTGTATAATTGCGAACTTGCCTTCAAAATTAATCAGCTGTATGATATAATTGTCACCTATATTGTCCGCGCAGTTTCGTAATTTTGCGTTACAGGAGAGATACATATCTTCGAATACTTTTATATATTTATTATTACAATTTATAATTATTGATAATTATTATTGTAACTATCACTTCACCTTGCCTTGGTGTTCATAAAGTAGCACAATTCGAAACCGATGTATACGATAACAAAAAATGATATTTTACAATGTTAAAAAGAAGATTTTTAGCTCTATTTTGTCTTTGAATACCTGACGTTTGCCTTCTATGTTACCAGGAGACCATCGTTTGTGTATTTAAACGTCTACGAATGGAAGCTTATTTTGTTGATAGCTAATTTTCATAAATAAATCTTTCTTAAAAAATAGAAGCGCATGAAATATGAAATGTTTCAAATTTCATGCTTGTAGACATTTAAATATGGAAACAGAAAAGGAGTGTGATTTTTCATGACTGAAAAAAAAAGTGAGCTTCTCCTAGATTATGACTTTTGTTTTACGTTCCGTGGGTAAATAAAAAAAACAGTATTTATTTTACGAAACGTTATGTGTTCGCCCATGGATCAAACCTCGGAACTAGATTTCCATATATTACCATAGATAAATGTAAATAGAGGTGGACTGAGTCTTAATACGCGAAAATATTGCGACAGGAAGAAGATATACGCACTTGCTAATAAGTTATCAAAAACTAAAAAAGTATACAAATTGGAAAAACATTATTTCAAATTTGTATATGACATTTGTTATACGAATATACATTTCAAGAATACATTCTTGAAATATATAATATACATTTTAATTAGCACATGAAATGAAGTAAATAAGTAAATATTTTATGTTAAAATTGAACCTGTCGTGAGAACTTTCAAAGAGGTCCAGTCACATCTCTGATACGTTGAAGTAATGCACTGCATTACGGCCTTATGTCATGTATACGAACGGAAGCTACACATATATATGTCTTAGTACATATATAGCTACGATATATAGCGGAGATATCCGAACAAGCTTTATTCTAGGGTAATTACCACCATGTTTTGTGAATGATATAGTCCTTTCAGGAACATTTCAAAGGTCGCTTCACGTTTCAAAGTTGTTTATTAGTTCTTAGACATTTGTGAAATATTTCATATTTGTATATTTCATATGTGTATTGTAGTTTATCTGAAGGTACGATTTTCATCTTTAGTGATGTTCTGTTGATTAATGACCTTTAGTATAATGTCCCGAAATGAACTATATCTCTATTCTCTCATTTTAGAAGGAGGTTTGTTAACTTTTGTAAATATATCATCAAATTATATATAAACATCGTCTTACTTTGTATTATACCGTTTCAGTTCCAGTGAACATTCAGTATTAAGTTGGAAAACAATGAAAAAAACCAAATTCTTTTTTCCACAACACATAATCTTTGTTGATATTCCCATATGTAATTGTTATATACATTGCGTGTAATATATTTTTTAATAAAAGGTCTTAAATAGTAGTGGTTAGGCATTAATGTATTAATTGAAGAATTTTATTTTGATTTTTCCCATTATTATATGTATATGTATATTATACATAATGATTTTTTAAAGTCATCAGATGTAAATATAGTGCTAAAAGTGGACATGATGCGTCTCTCAGCGATTTAAAGCAAAATCAATTATGTGGAACGTGAACAAAGTTGATTATATATTTGTATAATTTCATCGAGTATATAATATAAATATACAAGGATAGTGACAGGTTTATAATAATTTTAGAAGAAACGCTGACGGGACGTTGGGATGACGATACTGTGTCGGCATTATGAATGCTACGAATTGTGTAAAAAATATTAAAACATAAAAAAATTTCTTGTTTCATTTCATTTTCTTGACTCATATCACTTTATTATTATTAATACAAAGTTCGAACAGCAAGAAAAATTCCTTCGATCTGACTGGTTTAGAACCAATCTCTGTGCTACCTTAGCTACAGACCGAGTTAACAGATCTTACAAATTTCTTTATGTGTTTGTCACAGATTTTTGAATTAGTTTTTTCGCGTCAGCGCACCTGTGAGAAACTTATGAAGTTACCAACTCACCTGATCACAGGTACTTGGCTAAGTGAGAAACTTAATGTGATTTAGACCCGAAAAAAAAGTTACTCACTCACCTAGTAACACAGGTACCTGACAGAGTGAGTAACTTCATAAATTTCTCACAGGTGTGCTGAAGGCCTATTTTGCACATACAGGTGTTTCACGAAAAGTCAGTATGTGGCGGAGCGGCATTTTGCTACCATGTGATACACGGTTAAAACATTATAAACGGTAGTTTCCCTAACTCTATCGAGACTATCTTATATTTCATTTATCCCTCTATATACAAGTATAAAGTATATATTATATCCCTCTATATATGAATCTTCACTCAAGTGGAGACCACGGCTGTGGTGGGTGCAGGATCCTACTCGTGCCATCCAAGCTCTTCCAAGAATCGCAGCACCCTTTTGGGTTTGCTGAAATCTTCGGGGACTCTATGATACCTACTTTACACTGTAGTTGGCCACACCGGAGTATTGTAACTTACACGTAAAGAAATTCGTGACATCTGCTGATTAGCTCAGTTGCTTAACAGCTGTGTTCCCGACATGTCAACAGACACTGATTCAAAATATTTCACCTCTAAGGGTGGTGAACCTGGGAATGAATCCGGTTTAATGCACTTTCCGGTATCCGATTTCAATAAAAATTGGCAAATATGTGGAATTCCACAAACTTTTGAAGTCGGAATTTTTTAATAAAACAGGAGTTTAAGTGACTGTTTCATAATGAAAGGCGTTAAAATACGAGCGTGGGTTAATAAAATAAAAACATCACACGAGTGTTTTAATGCCTAATTATGTACAGTTACCTAGACTGCTTTATCTACACACATATTATAAGCTCTCTGTGATGTGTTCAGGAACCGCATGTAACGACTGGCGAAATGGCGGCAAATAAAAACTTTTCTCGCGCATGTCACACAACCGTAGTTTTTATTTTTAATTCATAAACAAACTAGAATCGGCCCCTACTATCATATCGTTCGATATCAAGTAACGTGTGAAATTCAAAATTGTTTGCTATTGACATTTCGTTTCGAATAAAACTTCATCTCGACTGATATTAGAATTGAGGTCCAATCAAATTGTTTTGTTTTTCAGAGATGTTCGAAATTTGAATGTAATATTAACATCGAATTCGATGTTATTACGAAGCAATAATAACATTTTCACAGATAAGAAATTTGTTCTAACAAAACAGTTTACCTTTATGCTGGTCGTAATTTGCGGTTTTTTAACACAGCATAGAGGGTTTATGATATGTGTGTAGATAACAGTAATAATTATTATGAAATGTGATTATGTTGATTGGTGACAGCCCGTGGAACGGCTTTTCAATTAAAAGATCGAAGCTAGAAACCCTATGGTGGTGCCCATCTATGACTTTAAAGTTTGAATTACGTAAGTTTATGTTTAGTCGGGTATTTCAACGCGAGTCTAGGTTTTAGGA